ACAGTGAGAGAGTGAAAGAGAAGGAGGATGCATGAGATAAAAAATGGGGTGAAAACTGCGAAGGGGGGGGGAGGGGGGGGGGGGGGGGGGGGGGTGGGGGGCCGAAGCCACGGAATGCCTCAGTCGGACTTGTTTAAGGCTGTAACGTACCTTTCCAACAGCAGCTTCTCCAAGCAAAACCAGCTTGACACTGCTGCTCGGCTTCGGGCCGGGTGTTGCAGGAGCATCCGACATTGTCAAACCAAGACAGAGAGTATTTCCAAAAGAAAACAAGTTCGTTCACAAGGCCAGATCCAATCCCGCAAAGAGAAAGGAGTGCTCAGCGTTCGACGAAAGGAGGGAGGGGCGCGGGAGGGGGCGGAACGCTGATACAGCAGCCAGCCAGAAGGTCTTGGGAACGCAAAACTGAAACAACGTAAGCTGCTCGACGGAGAGCGTTTTGAGTAAACAGCGTAAAAGAATACGGCGGCTAGGGGAAGGGAGAACAGGAGCTGGAGGGGTGTTATCTAGCTGTAGCTTTAGGTGGACGCCCCGCGAGGCCGACGGATTATACGGAGATATCAATAATACAAGGCAGCAAGGGAAGTTTTGCGGCGGCGGCGACGGCGGCGGGCGGAGTGAAAGTCAAGTTTCTGCCCGGACGTTCGATGACAAGCTGTGGAGGCTGGCGGTCTGGGCGGCGCCTGGCCGCATCGGGCCTAGCATAGCCGCGTCGCCGGGAGGGTCGTGACGACGAGGACTGCCAAGGCCATGCTCACGTGTGTATCGTTATGTAAGCGGAGTAGCGTGACTCCGTTTGGGCGAAGCTAACGTTATCTCGCCCTGGGTTGCGATGCAGATGGAGCCTCCAGGATCGGAGTCCGGGTGATCCATGCGCACGAGTCGTTGCGTGTTGAAGTCCGAGGCCTCTTTTGTTTCAAGGATCTGAAACAGTCGTGCGCAAGTTACATGGGAGTGGAGATTACGGAGTAGCGATATATGGTGGTAGAGGACAGTGTCAGGCAAGTCACATTTGGTCTAGATGTTCTCAAAGTGCAGCCCGGAAATAGAGATGAGAAACGGGGGAGGAAAAAGTAGGAATTCTTTCGCCTGGTCTGGTCTAGTCGGGTAGGACACAAGGGCAAATAATGTGAAAGGAAGTCTATAGAGTAAAAATAAAAAACAATCCATCAAGGAGATCCGGCTCCGACAAATGTAGTAAAGGGAGAATCGTCAAGGCATGTATATCCGAACGATTGGAACCTCACAAAAAGCCGCACAATAAGAAACGAATAAACAGATTAAAGCCAATGAAGAAGAGGCACCGACACCCGCAACCCGGAAAAGGCCTTGAAAACAATGCAACTGAGCAATTCCCGGCGCCTGATGGATGATTTTGCCCGCACGCCACATTTGCCGTTAGTGTTGTACAGAAGATCGAAAAGAAAAAGGGACAGAACAGAATTTAAAGAAACCCGCTGAAATGATCAATCAAGAGAGGCAAATCAAAGAAGTGGTGTATGAAAAGACATGGGGTCGAAAGGAGATGACTGCGAAGTCATAACAGGGAATCTAAAAAACTTTCTGGTATATGCCCATAGGAAAAAAAAGAAAAAAGGAAAAACAGGAAAGAAAACACAGAAAATGAGGTGACCCATCCCAAAACCTGTCTATATTTTTTGAACGCCGCAGGAAGAAACAAAAAAAAAAAACTCGGAGGTGCTGATTCTTGGTATCACGTATAGCAAGAAAGCCGGTGGAGAGCGAGGAATTTTTATTAATAGAGAGTATTGGACGGAATTGCCGAACCGGGCAGTATTAGCGAGGCTGGCTGTGAGATTATCGGCCGGCAGAAAAAAAAAAAAAGATGTGGTGGCCAAATGGTGCAATATGTGCCGCAATTTAGACCAATTGGATGTCCGTCCGGTGTTGAAACAGCTCTTTTTTTTTTCAAAATCTTTCTTTTCTTTTGGTTGGAAATGCTATAGCGAATGGAGAATTGAGAGGAAGAAACGCGGGAACGACGACTAGGAGGAGAGGGGGTTGTTTTTGATTATTGAACTCGAACGCGCGGAGGTACGAATCGTGGTCTGCTTGATGGAGGCCATCCATTGAGGCGGCAGACAGCCATCTTCCATCTTCTTAAGTTATCGTGGTTTCGGCGGTTGCTGTGGCTTTGGAACGCCGGTGGTGTCGTAAGCTCCGCGATGCATGTTTGTCGCTGAGAGGTTTCTGACTATCATGTCTGCTTTTGTGGTAAAGAAAATGCTTTAGAGAAAAAAAAAAGCAGACGGTTAGCTTGAAGGTGCGCTGCAGCGGGAAAGATGTCATGCATGGGGGGGCGTCGCCATAAGGTATAAACTCGGCATTGCGAACACAACTGGGAGCGGCAAGGGGAGCTATAAAGTGACAGGCAGGAGAATTCTGGTACTTACTTGGTATACCGAGAACCGGGGGATGCCAATAATGCAAAGAAAAGCAGCCGAATAAGAAACGAGTGTCAAGACGACGGACGAGAGCAACCGGCAGAGATGCGGGCCAAGTATGCCACCGTAGTGTCAGGAACGGAAAGGAGCGAGGGTAAAAAACAAAAAAAAAAAAAAAAAAAAGAAGTGGCAGGTTGTCTCGGCGGCCCAAAAACGAATTAAATGAGCGTCGGGTCGGGACGGCACAGCTTCGAATCTCGATCCAGACGGAGCTCGGGCGGTTGCAAAGTCCCTTTAAAGCTATTGCGCTGGCTTCGGTGGCTTTGTGCTTTGCCCTGTGGTTGGGAGGTGTGGAGGACTTCGCAGGGCACGGCGAGAGGCCAGGATTGAGGTGTGTGGCCGAAAAGGAGCGGAGGAGCGAGGCTCGTGAGGATAGACGGAGCGATCGGTGGGAGGATTGCTATAAGTTTTTTTTGTTTGTATTGTGTATTTTTGTATATTTTTGCAGGTTAATTTTTTTTTTTTTTGTATTTTTTTTTTCAGTATTTTATTTTATTTATTTTGTTGGGCCTGTGGCCAAGTAACACTGGTGAGGGCCGAGGCACGGGCAGCAAGCTGGGGGAAGCGCAGGCAAGAGAATGTGACGGGCGAGAGACGGGCTGGCTGGCTCAGGAGGATCTGACGGGAGGCTAGCCAGGGAGGACGAGGGGGGAGATGGGACCAGCTGCTAGGATGCCCCAAGACAAGACAAGAGAGAGAGAGAGAGAGAGACAGAGAGAGACAGAGGAAGAGGAAGAGGAAGATATAGTAGTAGTAGGGAAGACGCCAACGGGCCGTGGGGCGGGAAGGGCGCAGAGATATATAGTGGTGGTGGTGGCCAGCGTCTGGAGCGAGTGAGCGGGCAGGGGAGGGCGGGTTTAGTTATAGGTAGAGTCCAGGCGAAACACTCAAAATTATCCCAATTTGCGGGCTTGATTGCGATGCACGATCCCTCCCCCCTTATCCCGGCCAGCAGGGCCGTGTCGTTTTTTTGTTTTTTTACTTTTTCTTTTTTATTTTATTCGGTTGGTGAGAGAGTTAGCGCAGCGGACCTGTCGAACTTTAGCGGCCGCCCTTCTTTGTGCGCGCGCGGTGGAGGCGCTGCCCGTTGCTGCTGCTGCTGGCCTGCGAGCTTGCTTGCTTGCTCCAATGATGCGCGCGGCACTCCGGCGGGCGCCCGCCCCCCCTGGCGCCCGTTTGTGCGCTATCATACTGATGCGCGCCCGACGTGACTGATTCTATCCGGCCTGGATGCCTCTCGCTGCGCGCCGGCTGAGGCCTGCTTTTTTTCAATTTTTGTTCTTTTTTTTTCTTTTTCTTTTTCTGCGGGCTGCGATTGGCTTTCGGCGGGTATTATTTGGGTTGTTGCTGTGTCGAACTATGTATGTATGTATGCAGCCTTGGGATACGCCCGCCCGCACGTCGGCTACGGGCAGCAGCCGCCCGAAACAATCCACATACCGCCAGGCCAGCTTGGTGGTTGCTTTCTGTTCTTTCTGCCTCTCTCTCTCTTCCTCTCTCTCTCTTCCTCTCTGCTGGCATCCTGTAATTCCACCCCCACCGCCGCCAGCGAGAGGCAACGCGGCCTTGTGGCTGGCCGCCGGCCGCCCGCCCGGCCTAGCTAACCAAGTAGTTAACTAGTTACTATAGCTATATGCTATGCCCAGCTCTTGCTGGCGGCCGTTGCGATGCTGCTGCCGCTGGGCGGGCGTGCAGTGGAGCCCCCGGGCGTGTGGCAGTTCGCGTAGCGGGGACCCGGGCCAGCACTAACCCACCCAGGAGAATGGGAGCAAGTCGCTAGCGGCGCAGGTTAAGTTGGTTACGTGACGCTTCCTTTGCGCGCTCGTGTTTCAGGGCTGGCCAGCCGCCCGCCCAGGGGGAGGGCCCGCTTGCCCTGCCCTGCCCTGCCTGGCTGTTAGGGCTGCTCTTGTCTGACACCGGCACCCCTGGCCGCGCCCTGCACCACCACCACCACCACCATGCGACAGAGTGCTACCACGACGACCACGCCGCGCACTCCCGCTGGAATCGGCGCTGCCCGGTGATGCGGTCGCCCTGAGTCGTCCCGTCGTGCAGGAACAAAGACGGGCTCCGTGTGACGGCCAGTCGCCTGCGTTCTTTTCTTTGTTGCATGACGGCTTGCTCCTCGGGTTGGCCGGCACAACGCCAACTAACTAGCAGTAGGTTAGTATGTAAATTGTCGCTCGAATCCTACCCACCCGTAAATTCGCTGTATCGACC